ATACACCCATAATACAGATTCATCAAAACACTATTGATCTTTGTTTAAGAAGGGTGAGTGATATGAACTATTATACATGAGTTAAAGAAAATTTTAAAATTTATAATGTCTAGATAATTAATACGTAGTAATGAATTAAATGTACTAATGAATATGGGCGGGCCTATTGGCCCGGATGGGCTAAAAGTAATTTCCATATTCGCCCAAATACAATTCGGGCTTGGGCCGACCCGCCCATGTGGGTATTAAAGATTGTCCATATCTGCCCATTTTAAAGGGCGGGTTGGGCGGGCCGGACGGGCCGATCCTTGTTTGCACAGATCTAATTTGGAGTAATATATAAAAATATAATCACAACAAATTTGACATTATGTATTTCATAGATATACACATATAGTCATTATATAAGTTGCACAAACAATAATTTTTTAAGTATGTATCCATCTATGAAATAGATTGTGTCAAATTATAAAGTACTCAATCAAAATTGATTACCCTAATATTTATCCATCTCAATTCAACTCAAAAGTGAATTCATATGGTCCATTTTCATCTATTTCCCGCCCTAATATTCCCGCCACAACAAGCTAATACATTCAGCTCTTCTACACCCTTTCCAACGTTTCACACTTTCATTAAGTTACACTCGGAAACCCAACGAGCAGGAGCAGAGAGGCATGGCACGCAAGAAATCCTCTTCCATTATTCCTTCGCCGCCTCCGATTTCCATCGGTAATCTCCGTCCACCAGAATAAAGCCCGAGCACTTCGAATGCCCTAATTCACCTGAAATGAGTTTGTGTTTCTATGACGGAGTAATATTTGTTAAATTTGCGCAGGAAATTGCGAGGTGCGGGTCGAAGCTAAGAATTTCGCATCCGAGCTGACTGAAAATAGCCTCCAGATCACGTTCGCGAAAGATGCCAATCTCAAAATTTCAGGCAATAAAGCGTTCTAACTCTTCTGGATTTTGATTCTCAGTTCACTTAATGTCGGGATAACTGTTAGAACTGCTTGTTGGGAAAGCTTAGCTCAGTTTTACTTCTTGTTAAATTCAGTTTTTCAATTTGTTAAGTTTGTTATTTCTGTTAGTGACGTGGCTTTCTTTCCTCTCTTGTATAAATACTGTGTGTGGACTTAATTCCAAGACAAGTTTTCTTCTCTGCAAATTCGATAATCAATAAAGACTGTTTTTCTTATTTTCCTTCGTTCTTCATTCTTCATCGCCATTTCTGTATCAAATTGTTCAAGGAATTCATCATATCTAAGAATTCCAACATGGTATCAGAGCAGGATTAAGATCGATTCTGCGTCCAGTCATCATCTTTGAGGAATCCTTCAACTCATTTGATTTCATCTTCAATGGCGGAAGAAA